GCATTATTGTACAGAACGAGGGAGATGCAAATAGAAAAAGGTGTTCTCTCTCTTAGTCTTCTTTGCTAAAGAGCATACAAACTTCTGATCCCGTCAGGAGCTCCATCACCGGGGAAGAACGAACAAGCTAGCCTAGACTTTGCACCCTCCTTGGAAATGAGGTGGACACTTTGACCAGCACGACAGATGCCCATGAGGTCCTAGCTACGCACTGCTATTCCGAAGTATCTTCTTGTGCGCGACTGCAATAAGCAAGGAGCCATTAGGGCAAGACCGGTCATTCGTCCTGACTAAAGGGAAGGCCGGCCTTGACCGGGACCCAATTCTCAATGGATCGGTAGGAAGGTTCTCCTTTCTGCTTGGCAATTCAGCATCAAGGTGGTTCCCATCGCATACAGACAATCATCTCTACTGGCTCAATTGTAATAACAGGTGCACCTAAGATAAAAACAGAATGCTTCCGGGTTTGCTGATTTCAGCAACAAATCACTGACAAATCAAGGACCTGAAGGAGTGTTCCACCCCCATCGTCCAGCCCAGACACTAAGGTCCAGCTCCGAGGGCCTTCTGGCGGTTCCTCACTGTGAGAAGTGAGCTTACAGGGAACCAGGCAGAGGGCCTTCTCGGTCGTGGCGCCCGCCCTGTGGAACGCCCTCCCACCAGGTGTTGAGGAAATAAACAACTAACTTTTAGAAGACATCTGACATCTGTATCAGGAAGTTTTTAATGTTTGGTGCTTTATCAAGTTTTTAATATTTTGTTGGAAGCCGCCCAGAGTGGCTGGGGAAACCCAGCCAGATGGGTGGGGTATAAATAATATATTATTATTACTTCCCCTGTTCCCACCTCTCTGCAGTATGTAAGTGGCAACTTGCAGCATCTGTCATGGGTCAAAGAGAGTGGGGTGCCTACATTGTCTATCCTGACCAGTGGCCAGGCAAGCAAGAAAAACATATAGCCACCATACTGACCCTGGTGACTTCACTTTCCACCAGGAATCATGGGATTTGTAACTCAGCTCCGTGATCCTTGGTGGGAAAAGATGCTGCCAACTCCCACTATGTCGACAACATACTTTTTTCTTTTTCTTTACAGCTTGGTCATTTGTTAAGGAAAAGAGACCCTGTCAGTGTCCCCTATCTTTGATGGAAGCCTTCCCTAACCTGTTACCTTGGCCTCCCTTGTCAAGGTACCATTTTCCCCACGAAGGTGAGAATTGGGGCACTGGGGGTTGAGAGCAAACTTGAGGCAAAGAACGTGTAGTTCCAGCTTCATTTGTTAAGCTCACTAGTTTGCCATGGCAAGTGACTACTTCTTAGGCTAACCAGTTTCATTGCGAAGAGACTACAGGCCAATCTTACACTCAGTAAAAGGGTAAAGGGACCCCCAGACCATTAGGTCCAGTCGTGGCCGACTCTGGGGTTCCGGCGCTCATCTCGCTTTACTGGCTGAGGGAGGCGGCATACAGCTTCCAGGTCATGTGGCCAGCATGACTAAGCCACTTCTGGCAAACCAGAGCAGCGCACGGAAACGCCGTTACCTTCCCGCCGGAGTGGTACCCTATTTATCTACTTGCACTTTGATGTGCTTTCGAACTGCTAGGTTGGCAGGAGCAGGGACCCGAGCAATGGGAGCTCACCCCGTCGCGGGGATTCGAACTGCCGACCTTCTGATTGGCAAGTCCTAGGCTCTGTGGTTTAACCCACAGTGCCACCTGCTTCCCTACACTTAGTAGTGTGCAGCAAAAAAGCACTTATTTTTCTTTAATTGCAGCTGAAGGGGAACCCTGATTATTATATCACCGGTCTTGAAAGACCTACATTGGCTCCCAGTATGTTTCCGAGCACAATTCAAAGTGTTGGTGCTGACCTTTAAAGCCCTAAACGGCCTTGGTCCAGTATATCTGAAGGAGCGTCTCCTCCCCCATCGTTCTGCCCGGACACTGAGGTCCAGCTCCGAGGACCTTCTGGCGGTTCCCTCACTGCGAGAGGCCAAGTTACAGGGAACCAGGCAGAGGGCCTTCTTGGTAGTGGCGCCTGCCCTGTGGAACGCCCTCCCATCAGATGTCAAAGCGATAAACATCTACCTGACATTCAGAAGACATCTGAAGGCAGCCCTGTTCTGGGAAGTTTTTAATATGTGACATTTTAGTGTATCTTTCATCTTTGTTGGAAGCCGCCCAGAGTGGCTGGGGAAACCCAGCCAGATGGGCGGGGTACAAATAATAAATTATTATTATTATTATTATTATTATTATTATTATTATTATTATTATGTGGACCAAGGAGAATTATCCCTCTTGCACTGTGCAGCGCCACTGAATCATACCTGCCTCCTTTACCAATGAGACTTAGGGGGAAAAGAAGAATATGCCGTTTGGCCCTATAACACTGTATTGACTAAGGCAAAGATAGAGAGGTCCATGGGTCAAATAAATAAGCCTAGTTTTAACTCATGCAGTAGGTAGGTCCAAGTGTAAATTTAGAACTCTCAACACATATAGTGTGAATATTCTTGTGTGGCTTACTGTGCAATGTCAGGGTTACGCGGTGTTCGACAACGCCAGCATCGTTTGTAGCTACACACGCATATTCCGCAGCATCTTCATTCTGAAAAGAAGTCAGCATGTTGACAGATGAGCAATCCAATAATTTTTATTCTGTGTTGATTTGCAGTACATTAAACCCAGCAATGGCTTAGAAATTGTATAATATATACAGAAACAAGCAGGGATTCAGTAGGATGGAAGTTAGTGGCGGTGGCAGTGACAGTAAAAGGTAACGGTAAAGGCGCCCTGGAAGGTTAAGTCCAGTCAAAAAAGACTGGGGTTGCGGCGCTCATCTTGCTTTCAGGCCGAAGGTACTGGCGTTTGTCCACAGACAGCTTTCCAGGTCATGTGGCCAGCAGGACTAAAGTGCTTCTGGCGCAATGGAACACTGTGACGGAAACCAGAGCGCACAGAAACCGTTTACTGCCCCGCCGGAGCGGTACCTATTTATCTACTTGCACTGGTATGCTTTCGAACTGCTAGGTTGGCAGGAACTGGGACAGAGCAATGGGAGCTCATCCTGTTGCACAGATTCGAACTGCTGACCTTCCGATCGGCAAGCCAAGAGGCTCAGTGGTTTAGACCACAGTGCCTCCTGCGTCCCGGTAGTGGCAGTGCTGGCTCCTGTGTGTAGGGTGGAAGGGGGCTGCATAATTAAGCACAATTAAGCAGAAGCACTGGGAAGTTCGCCAACTGCAGGTACTCTGCTGGCATCAAGCCTGTGACCAGTAAACTGTGCCACCCTTTGCCTGGCCTTGGCAACATCCTATATCATGGGTAGGCAAACTAAGGCCCAGGGGCCGAATCCGGCCCAAACGCCTTCTCAATCCGGCCCATGGACAGTCCGGGTATCAGCGTGTTTTTACCTGAGTAGAATGTGTCCTTTTATTTAAAATGCATCTCTGGGTTATTTGTAGGGCATAGGAATTCGTTCATTATTTGTTTCCAAAATATAGTCTGGCCCCTCACAAGGTCTGAGGGACGGTGGACTGCTGAAAAAGTTTGCTGACCCCTGTCCTATATCTTTTGTGGCAAGGAGCGTGGCCTGTTCGGATTTCTAGTGGCAAAAAGAAGGGAACCCTTCCCCCCCCCCCCCAGTGCTGTGTGCCTTATGGCTGGATCACAAGTGCATTGACCTTTTTATGCCAAATTCCTGAGAAAGGCTCTAATGGCAGTAGTATGTTAGGAAATGCATGTGCATTAAGTGTGTTGACTTAATGTGTCGGGTGTGACATCTGAGTCCCCTGGTGACAGCAGGACTTGTGGACTGACTCAACTGAAAAAGCAATTTGAAAACTTTTATCTGCAATGTTACATCTGTGACATACAGAGTTTTAACTGGTATTTTATCTAGTGTTTCTAAGTCACCCTGGGAGGGTTTTGCCTTGAAGGATGGCATATAAATTCCTTAAATAAAGGAGTGAATTGCGCAAGTTGTGTTGTGTGGTGCCATGATATAACAATAGCTCAGGAGGCAGCCTGAGAGGTTAGAATGGAAACGATAAAATTCCCTTTTCAGCAGAGTAGTGCACGACCACATACACATATAAAAATGCACTGCAACTATATGTAATGCATAAAAGAGATTTGTATCAGTTATTAAGAACAGACCTGCAGTCTGTGTTTAATTCACAGCCTCTTGGGTTGGTAATGAAGATAGATCTCTTTGAAAGAAGGGTGGGACATTAATCCTGTACAACTAATCAGTAGAAGAGATCTCAGTAAAGACTTACAACTGTGCCATAGATAGCAAGGGATCCGTTGCTGAGTTGTCTGATCCGGTTGCTGATCTGAATGCCAGCTCCTTTTTTGCTCCACTGGATCACTGGAGGTGGATCTCCTCTGACTTCACAGTTGAGGATAGCATTGCCACCCAAGGGCTCAATCCGACTGGAATGATAATCTCCCATGAAGACTGGTGGTTCTGGAAAAAATAGTTCAAAAGTTAATGATGTATAAAATAAGAGTGGAAATGAGAACCGAAGCCAGTATATTGAGGGAACTCAACATGAATTTAAAGCAGCAAAAATGCAGATGTTAAAACTTCAAAATACAGTGAAAATGGAATGAATCTGAATCTAGTTTTGTGAATGTGGAGCCCCTTCAGCTGTTTTTGAGTTCAGTAATTTTGATTGCAGAAAATTCACCTAGTTTAAAATGAATTCTTAATCCAGATTCAGCTCTAAATTAGGAAGAGGTTTCGTCTGCATACTCGTTTGATACGAGTCAGGCACTTTTTATTTTCGTAAGTTAGACAGGCCATGTCCATTCATTCCCCTGACCACCTATGATGCTGATTTTAGATGGAGTGTGAAACGATTCCCAAACTTACCAGTAATACATACCTTTAACGTACACAAATCCAAGAGCCTTGACAGAACCAACTACATTTTCCGCCGTACACACATAGGTTCCAGAGTCCTCTTTGGACACTCTTTCAATGACAAGTTGGCTAAGTCCATTCACACCATCGTATTGTGCTAGCAGAACAAGAGGAGAACAACAAAGAAAAAGAAAACCAACAAAATCTAAAGGCTCAACAGAACGCACATTTTACATGCATAGCTTGGGGGTGTTCAGTATCCCAATATGCTAGTAGATACAGCTTTATGGGGAAAGACAGCAGGTGGAGATACCGTATTGGCCTGAATATAAGCCTCGCTTCCCCCCGCCCCCCAAAAAATCTGACCGTGAAAAGTTAAAGTGCGGCTTATATTCGCGACCTTACGGTATGCAGCCAGGAGCGCGGGGCAAACAGCGCTAGGAGCACAGCAAAGCACATAGTCCCCCCCCCCCGTCCTCTCCCCCAAGGCTAGGAAGGGAAAGAGTAAGAGTGAGGAAGGGGAAGGGTTGCTGGCAACACAGCATGGCTCCCCCCCCCCCCAAGATGCAGCCAGGAGCAGTGAGGAAGTGAATGGTATATATACGGGTATTTTCTCTCTCCCCCCCCCGCTCCAATTTTAAAGGTGCAGCTTATATTCGGGTGCAGCTTGTATTCGGGCCAATACGGTACTTGTTAACCCTGCCTTCTTTCTGCCTGCAATTCTACTGGAATGTTGAGGTTGCTTAGGAGTTTTCAGGTTGCTTTGAAATGACATAACTCCTCTGCAATAAAGAGATACCTAAGCATGCCAATCTTTTGCTGTTGTGCTCATTTCCTCCTAGTGGCACCTAGTTGGGTCTGGTGCAGCGGGGCTGGATCCACCCTACGTTCCTTACATAGAATTGGAGAGTTGGAAGGGATCCTGTGGGTCATCTAGTCCAACCCCCTGCAATGCAGCAATCTCAACTAAAGCATCCATGACAGACCACCATCCAATCTCTGTTAAAAACCTCCAAGGGAGCTTGTTCCACTGACAGCTCTCACGGCCAGGAAGTTCTTCCTGATAATCTTCCTTGCAGCTTGAAGCCATTGGTTCGGGCCCTACCCTCCAGAGCAGCTTCCTCCATCTTCTATGTGGCAGCCCTTTAAAAATTTGATGATGGCTATCATATCTCCTCTCAGTCTCCTTTTTCGCAGGCTAAACAAACCCAGCTCCCTCAACCATTCCTTACAATATAACTTCTACACACTGAGCCACACTTTACTCTTTCCAATTGCCATGTTGTCTTGATTCCATTCTGTCTTATAAAGTGTTTTTTGTAATTCGAAAAGATACCTACTTTTTTTTTTAACCTACAGAAGCTGATATGAAAAGAAACAATCACCTAACTCATTTCGTGTTAGGAGAGCAACACACTGTATCAGATATCTCATGTGCACATGCTTATTCCATGTCAGGAATTCAATTTTTGTGAAACAGTTCGAAAAGCGATGACAAACCTAGACAGCATCTTAAAAAGCAGAGACATCACCTTGTCGACAAAGGTCCGTATAGTTAAAGCTATGGTTTTCCCAGTAGTGATGTATGGAAGTGAGGGCTGGACCATAAAGAAGGCTGATCACCAAAGAATTGATGCTTTTGAATTATGGTGCTGGAGGAGACTCTTGAGAGTCCCATGGACTGCAAGAAGATCAAACCTATCCATTCTGAAGGAAATCAGCCCTGAGTGCTCACTGGAAGGACAGATCCTGAAGCTGAGGCTCCAATACTTTGGCCACCTCATGAGAAGAGAAGACTCCCTGGAAAAGACCCTGATTTTGGGAAAGATGGAGGGCCCAAGGAGAAGGGGATGACAGAGGACGAGATGGTTGGACAGTGTTCTCGAAGCTACTATAATGAGTTTTGCCAAACTGCGGGATGCAGTGGAAGACAGAAGTGCCTGGTCCATGGGGTCACGAAGAGTCGGACACGACTAAAGAACAACAAAACCTGTGTTTTCTAGGTACAATCCAGTCCTTTGATGTACTAACCTGGGATGATATTATTGTTAAAAGTCCATGAGATTTGTGGCACAGGAACTCCAACTGCTTTGCAAGTTAGCTGAAGTTGTTCTCCTTTATTTAAAGCTAAATCTCCAGGGAGCTCAGTAAAGGTTGGCAGCACAATGGACGGTTAAGTTGACGGTGTGGGTATCTTCACCAGCAACATTACTGGCAATGCAGGTGTAGCTGCCAGAATCTTCAGGCTGCAGGAAGGAAATAAAAACATTTAACGGGGGGGGATATCCTGTAATAAAGATAATGGTCATTTGGACATAGGAGGCATCTCAGAAAGAAAGCATTTGACTGAAGATTGTACAGTGGTACCTCGGGTTACATACACTTCAAGTTACATACACTTCAGGTTACATACACTTCAGGTTACATACACTTCAGGTTACAGACTCCGCTAACCCAGAAATATTACCTCGGGTTAAGAACTTTGCTTCAGGATGAGAACAGAAATTGTGCGGCAGCAGCGGGAGGCCCCATTAGCTAAAGTGGTGCTTCAGGTTAAGAACAGTTTCAGGTTAAGAACTGAGCTCTAGAACGAATTAAGTTCTTAACCCAAGGTACCACTGTATAGGGATTTGAATCACTCCATCATTGGGTCTCTGCTTTCAAATGCTGCTTGATTGATTGATTGATTGATTGATTGATTGCATTTATTCATTGCTTTCTACAAAAATGTTGCAAAGCAACTTGCAATCCCCCAGAGCAGATTTAGAGGCACACACCGGTGGGAGTGGGGAACAACAACTGAATTGAATCCTGCTACAGTACTACCTCGGGTTAAGAGCTTAGTTCGTTCTGGAGGTCTGTTCTTAACCTGAAACTGTTCTTAACCTGAAGCACCACTATAGCTAATGGGGCCTCCCGCTGTCGCCGCACCGCCGGAGCCTGATTTCTGTTCTCATTCTGAAGCAAAGTTCTTAACCCGAGGTACTATTTCTGGGTTAACAGAGTCTGTAACCTGAAGCGGATGTAACCCGAGGTACCACTGTATTTCTTTCTTTTTTGACATAATGCATTGCCAGGTTCCGAGTGATGCTGTTGAAACAGGGGATAAGGTCCCATGGCAAAGCATAACCATGTACAGTGGTACCTCGGGTTAAGTACTTAATTCGTTCCGGAGGTCCGTTCTTAACCTGAAACTGTTCTTAACCTGAAGCACCACTTAACCTGAAGCTAATGGGGCCTCCTGCTGCCGCTGCACAATTTCTGTTCTCATCCTGAAGCAAAGTTCTTAACCCGAGGTACTATTTCTGGGTTAGCGGAGTCTGTAACCTGAAGCCTCTGTAACCTGAGGTACCACTGTATCCTCCTAGTAGTAGAGCTGTCAGCTAACAACCCAGCCTCCTTTTTTCTTCTGTCCCATAGCCATAAGGGTGTGACTTGTGCTGTCTTCCTCCTTTCCAGAGCCATTATTAACACACACACACACACACACACACACAACACACACACCCCTGTGTATGTAACCCGAGGTACCACTGTATCTATAATGAACACAGTATTAGCCTTATATCACAATGCTACCACCCGGTGGGTCCATACTCATGGACTAGGTAAAGGTAAAGGTACCCCTGCCCGTACTGGCCAATCGTGTCCGACTCTAGGGTTGTGCGCTCATCTCACTTAAGAGGCCGGGAGCCAGCGCTGCCCGAAGACACTTCCGGGTCACGTGGCCAGCGTGACGAAGCTGCTCTGGCGAGCCAGCACCAGCGCAGCACACGGAAACGCCATTTACCTTCCCGCTATAAAGCGGTACCTATTTATCTACTTGCACTTAGGGATGCTTTCGAATTGCTAGGTGGGCAGGAGCTGGGACCGAAAGACGGGAGCTCACCCCGCCTCGGGGATTCGAACCGCCGACCATACGATTGGCAAGTCCTAGGCACTGAGGTTTTACCCACAGCGCCACCCGCATCCCTTACTCATGGACTACCTACAGCTAAACATAGCAGGGTATCTTTGGCTCAAGAAACCTACAAATCACACACTTTCAGGTTGGCATGTCTATCAGCCTGTGGCTACCTTGAGTACGCTGCTCAGTCAAATGCTTACCACAGCATTATCCACAATGAGATCTCCATATGACAGAGCAGTGTATTTTCCCACCATGCTCATTAAAAATTGGCCCTCTTTCTTCCAATTCATGGATGGCGTTGGCATTCCATCAGCAACACACGGCAGAACCACTTGTGCATTTTCTGCAACTGTGTAATGGGCTTCTGTACTGCGTATCTTAGGTGGAACTGTAGGGAGGTTTTTTAAGAAAAGAAAGAAAACAATAAATTACACATGTCCTTAGGAATCTACAGAGTTGGGTGGGAAAAACTCTGGAAAAGTGATCTGAAGTTCACAGCATGTTATTCTTTGAAGGAGAACTATTTGAAACTGATTTACAGATGGTATTTAACTCTGAGTAGGCTTGCTAAGATGTAGTATAAGACTGAATCAGATGAGTGCTGAAGATGCAAAGAGGTGGAGGGTATGTTCTTTCCTATGTGGTGGACTTGCAAAAGGGTAAAAGAGAGTATTGGGAAATGATCCATAATGAATTGGGGGGAAATGTTTAAAAGTACTTTTGCTCCCAAAGCAGAGTCCTTTCTGCTGGGGATAATTCACACTGAAATTTCCAGGTGTCAAAAAGGTTATTTACGTGTGCCACTACTGTGACCCATCTTTTGTTAGCTCAAAAATGGAAAACAAGCGAAGTCCCAACCAAAGAAGAATGGCAACTTAAGCTGTATGAGGATATGGGGAACAGCTAATTAAAACTGTGAAGAACAACCAATCCTGGTTCCATCCATCATCCTTGCTTCCACCATGATTAATAGCCAATGCATGTTCCCCATTTCCAGCTATGCTTACCAAGCACAGTGAGCTCCATGCTCGAGCTGCTTGCTCCAGCCACGTTGGTCGCCGTGCATGTGTAACGGCCGGTGTCGCTCGGATGAGCAAAGGCAATCTGCAAAGACCCCATGCTGAGGATTCTCTGCCTCATGGACTCTGTGACCTGTTGTCCATCTTTATGCCACACGATCTCAGGAGCCGGATAGCCATCTGCTTCACACAACAGCGTGGCAGGCTTATCCAAAACCACCACGTATTCTTCCGGGTGAGATCTGATAGCTGGAGGAACTGGTAGACAATGAATCCATTGTTTTAATCGGCAGTGCTAGAAGACAGTTGGACAACATTCCCTATACTACTTCACAAACTGTTGCTTTCCCAAGCTGTCTCCATCTTCTAACCCTATTCATCACTGTGCATCAGGCGCCTGACTTTTCATTTCATCTCTTTTTCTCAAGGTCAGGGGACAAAAGCAGGCCTTTTTGGCGGTATCCAGAAGTACCAGCGGTCGCGCATGCCCAGAAGTGCTAAATCGTGCTTGCACATGCGCAGAAGCACCGAATCGCAACCCATGCGTGCACAGATGCAGTGATGCGGGTTGCGAACACTGTGGGTTGCCAATGTGCCTCCCGCACGGATCACGTTCGCAACCCGAGCGTCCACTGTACTCCTGTTTGTTCTCTTTTTTCTCTTGTTGAGGCTCTAATGATGTACTTCTTAGGGAAGGTTAAGAAGATAAAGGTCACTTCACAAGTTTCATGCAGCTCCTGGCAAGAAGGAGGGAAATGGGAGAGGAGGTAGCAGAAAGAGAAAAGCAGGTGGCCTCCCCTATCCATGCCTCCCTTTTGGACTCCTGACCCTGACAAATTACATAACAAGAGCCCTGCGGGATCGAGCCAAAAATCTAGTCCCGCACTCTGCTCTCATTGTGGGTGAACCAGATGCTCATGGCTAGCTCACAACCACAGCCTGAGTGCAGTATCATTCTCCCCTCCAACGGTGGAGGTGGAATACAGCCATTGCCTCAGTCCTGTATACCTGAAGGAGCGTCTCCACCCGCATCGTTCAGCCCGGACACTGAGATCCAGCGCTGAGGGCCTTCTGGTGGTTCCCTTGCTGCGAGAAGCCAAGTTACAGGGAACCAGACAGAGGGCCTTCTTGGTAGTGGCACCCGCCCTGTGGAATGCCCTCCCATCAGATGTCAAGGAAATAAGCAGCTATCCTATTTTTAAAAGACATTCTGAAGGCCAGCCCTGTTTGGGGAAGTTTTTAATATTTAATGATGTATTGTTTTTAACACTTGATTGGGAGCTGCCCAGAGTGGCTGGGGAAACTCAGATGGGCGGGGTATAATTAATTAATAATCATGGCTGATAGCCTTATCCTCCACGAATTTGCCTAAAGGCATCCAAGTCGGTGGCCATCACAACCACTCGTGGGAGCAAATTCAATGCTTAACTAGGCTGTGTGTGACCCCAGAGGGAACGCAGCCCTCAACAGAAAGAAAAAGTTGCTCTCCTCTATTCTAGAGGCACATCAGATACGTTCCAAGATAACACCAGATATTATTAACAAGCTGTAGCTCACTGCAAAACTTACCTTGGATCTTCAGTTTGATCTTCCCAAGGGCAGTACCGGCTGGATTCTGAGCCACACAAATGTAAGTTCCAGCGTCTTCAGCAGCAGCTTTTGCAATCTGCAAACTGCCACTGGGGAGAATGGTATAACTATCCCCTGGAACACATGCACATTATGTATTAAAGAAGACCACAGTAGTAGAGAACATTAGGACTGCTATAGATTCTGTAAAAATAGTTTGCTGGAGAAATAGGTTTACTAGAAAGGTTGTGAACTCTCCTTTCGTTCAGGTTTTTTTTAAAGAGGTGCAAGACGAAATTAATCCGTTCCACGAGTCTCTTCGTCTTGCGGTTTTTTCGTCTTGTGAAGCACGGCTATTAGCGGCTTAGCGGCTATTAGCGGCTTAGCGGCTATTAACGGCTTAGTGGCTTAGCGGCTATTAACAGCTTAGCGGCTTTAAGAAAAAGGAAACAAACTCACAAGAACTCGCGAGACGTTTCGTCTTGCGAAGCAAGCCCATAGGGAAATTCGTCTTGCGGAACGACTCAAAAAACGGAAAACCCTTTCGTCTAGCGAGTTTTTCGTCTTGCGAGGCATTCGTCTTGCGGGGCACCACTGTATGTACATTTGGTAACTGGTAGGCAATGTGTGGATTGATCGACTGAAAATATTGTGTCCAAAAATCTGCACTGGCTTCTGACTGGTTACTGGGCCAAGTTCAAGGCATTACTGTTGGTAATATGGCTTGGGATCAGTTTACTTAAGAAATCACCTTGCCTCATAATGTGACTATTCAATCACTTTGATCTGTGAAATTGGCACTTGCAATTGTGAGGAATTGTTCCGTTGGAGTGACAGCAACTCCTTGGCGTAAGACATTGGAAGGTACACTCACTATATTATTTTAGTTGCCTGCAGAAAACCTCTCTGTCTCAGCAAACTATTCAGACACATGATTAGTTACCTTTTTTTAAAAAGTACCGTATTTTTTGCTCTTTAAAGACTCACTTTTTCCCTCCTAAAAAGTAAGGGGAAATGTGTGTGCGTCTTATGGAGCGAATGCAGGCTGTTCAGCAATCCCAGAAGCCAGAACAGCAAGAGGGATTGCTGCTTTCACTGCGTAGTGATCCCTCTTGCTGTTCTGGCTTCTGAGATTCAGAATATTTTTTTTCTTGTTTTCCTCCTCCAAAAACTAGGTGCGTCTTATGGTCTGGTGCGTCTTATAGAGCGAAAAATACGGTATATCCTTTCTTAGGATACAGAACTGCAGCACTACCATAGATTCCCGCATATAAGATGACTTTTTTAACCCCGGAAAAGAGGTTAGAAAGTCGGGGGTCGTCTTATACGCTGGGTACTACCTCCGAGGCGGGCACAGGGCAGCTTCCTCCCAGCACGGAGACCGCTGCCTGCTGCTGCTTTAGAGGCTGCCGAAGCTGCTGCCGCTGCCACCGCACTGGGCGGCTTCCTCCTGCCCAGCGTATACGACTGGGCTTATAAAACGAAACCCCAAATTGGCACTGCCAATTTGGGGGGTCGTCTTATACGCCCAGTCGCCTAATACGGTAATTCCCTTCAACTGTATGTAGCTAAATGCTCTTAGGAGAACGGGAAATTATAAAGCAAAACAAGATACCTGTGGTGTTAACACTGACCCCTTCCTTCTGCCACGTTATTTTAGGACGTGGTGAGCCTACCGCTTCACATGGTAGGAGAATTGGGCTGTTGAGAATGACGTCAAGCATTCCAGGTTGGACTTTTATAGCTGGTGGTTCTAAGATTCAGAGGAGCACAAAAAAAGCTCTGATTACTGATCCACCCAGCTGTTTACAATTATCACATACCCCTACCAGGTTGCCTACCAAAAGAAAAATATCCCCATTTCACAAACGATGTTATGAATAAACACAGATCCTGGAAGCCATGTTATAATACATAGATGTATTAATTAATGTTGGATCAACCATTGCCAATACAGTGGTACCTCGGGTTACAAACACCTCGGGTTACAAACACTTCGGGTTACAGACTCCGCTAACCCAGAAGTAGTACTTCGGGTTGATAACTTTACCTCAGGATGAGAACGGAAATCGCACGGCGGCAGCAGCGGGAGGCCCCATTAGCTAAACTGGTACCTCAGGTTAAGAACGGACCTCCAGAACGAATGAAGTTCTTAACCAGAGGTACCACTGTATAGAAAATCTTTGATTGCTGTCTCTGTCTCCAAGCCCAGTCCAGCCCAGAATGACTCATTTCAAAACAAGCCCATTTTAAAGGATTCTAACACAGAGTGGAGTCCAACATCACACTAAGGCAATTGTTCTGTCAGCGAAAGCATTTTTACTTGCCAGATGGAACAATCCCCTCTGTCCCCCCCCCAATGCTGTTCTGAGGTTCCCAGACCCCCAGATGGATTTGCCGGGGGGGGTGCGTGGAGGGAAGGAGAGGAGAGAGTCTAAGTTGTGTTAGCAAGAGTCCTTGCATTGGCTTCTGCTAACGCATCTGGTTAGTCAAATCGGGCCCATAAATCTCCGCAGATGTAATGCCTGATGTGATGTTGATGTGCTTTGGGGAACTGGGCAGGAGCTAAGATCCTGTCAGATGTCAAAGAAATAAACAACTATCTGACTTTTAGAAGACATCTGAAGGCAGTCCTGTTTAGGGAAGCTTTTAATATTTGATGAATTATTGTATTTTAATATTTTGCTGGAAGCTGCCCAGAGTGGCTGGGGAAACCAGATGATGATGATGATGCTACAATTATCCGTGGCTGAGTGCCACTCTGTAGGCATACAGTGCTACTTTCTTTATCTGAAATAATATGAAAACAAAAAGCCATTCCCTCAACTTATGTCATACATCTAAGGTTAACACACTTTCTAAGAGAAGAAGAAGAAGAGTTTGGATTTGATATCCCGCCTTTCACTACCTTTAAGGAGTCTCATAGCGGCTAACATTCTCCTTTCCCTTCCTCCCCCACAACAAACACTCTGTGAGGTGAGTGGGGCTGAGAGACTTCAAAGAAGTGTGACTGGCCCAAGGTCACCCAGCAGCTGCATGTGGAGGAGCGGAGACGCAAACCCGGTTCCCCAGATTACGAGACTACCGCTCTTAACCACTATACCACACTGGCTAAGCAGAACAATGCAAGTTAACAAAATTCCCATTATGTTCCAGAAAAAAGGCATGAGGCTATCCTTATTGTCCACCCAATTATACTATAATTTTAGCAAGATTCCACAGAAGTAGATTGGGAGCATGTTCAGTTTGATAACTAACTCTCAGGAAGCATTTAGCTCCAGGTGGTAAAATTCTTCAACTTGCAATGATCCCTGGAAATACTTCAAACACTATATAATTAATGTACAAATGCTGAGACCTAAGTACAAACATTTGGACATTTCTGAGGGCTGGTTTACAATTATGATTAAATTTCTTGCAAGATGAATAATTTTACCACCCATCACCTGGAGCTTAATACTTCCTAAGAGCTACTTTTCTAACTTAACGTGCATGCAATCTACTTCTAGGGAATCCTGCTAAAATGAACTGAAGTTGTATACCTGCAATGTATTCTTACTAGAGGCCTGCAAGAAATAGATGGTTATTTAAAATTAATACATGAAGTTCAGCCTTTCATATTCAATATTCCAAATTCAATATTCCTTTTTTGAGAAAGACAATCCCAAAACTGTAAGAGCCAAGACTGAGTCCCTGTACCTCCATTATTCAGTTTGTGTTAGCTTTCCTTCCTTGTTCATTGTCCAATTGCTCTGTTCCACTATCATATCAAGAACACAACTGATTTTAATATATTTGAATACATAATAATAATAATAATAATAATAATAATAATAATATCTTTATTGTCATTGCCCCCTCTCGGGGACAACGAAATTACTTGGCTGCTCCATCCACCCAGGTAGGGCACTCCACACAAAATCAAATCAACTATAAAAACACTAATTAAAACAATACAGTATAAAACAGCAAGGAAGATTAGATGACTTTCAAAGTCCAGGCTTCCCATTCAGGGCCGAGATCGCTCTGGGGAAGAAGCTGTTCTTAAGACGGCTTGTTCTTGTCTTCATCGTCCTGTATCTCCGTCCCGACGGCAGGAGCTCAAAGAGACAGTGACCAGGATGCGATGGATCTTTTACTATGTCCAGTGCCTTCCTATGGCACCTTGTGGCATAAATCTGCTCTAATGAATCTAGGAGGATAGACTAAATGTGTGTGGGTGCAATGGATGAAAATGCCAAATCAATATACATTATAATAATTTCCAGGAAATTTACGTGTTCTACAGCATCAGATGTCACTCAGTCCATTTTGCCTGTTCAACCTGGCAAAGATTATAAAGATTCAGCTCAGGGTTGGCCCTATATTTAGGCTGAGTGAGGCAACTGCTTCAGGCTGCAAGTGTTGGGAGGCGGTTTGAGGTGTTGGAGGGCAGTCTGCCCTGCGCCTCCTAAACTAGCCTATTGCTCTCAGGAAGAAACTGTCACATCCCAGTGTCAAATTATGATTCAAGCACCAGTCCAATCAACTTCAGTATATGAAAAGGGATACCGTAAGCATCAAAATGTTTTGGGTCAGTCTTGATTCTGCTTTACTGTAAGAACTTTCCAAGCCTTAACAGCCAAACCCTATAATTCTCTCCCCTATGTAGTACCATATTTCCCCCCCACACCATCTTTTTAGGGACATAATAATCATCTCATCCACTGGCACATAAATTCTTCTCAGGGTTAGGAAGCACAACCATTAAAATCTGTTTCCAGTGGCCTGGCCCTGTAAAAATTATCACACAGATGGTATAACACTCCTTTGCAAATGTCAAAAATGTTTTCTTCTATATCACCTACCGGTAATTGTTGGAGGGGTTAAAATAAACTTGGTACATATTATAATTTATGGTGGGAATTTCAGCTGGTGCAAGATTATTGGAAATTAATTTTGACAGAAATAAATATTACCAAAGAAAATATTGTCCAAAATTAATGTTAGGTTTTTTATTATAACAATGTCAAAAGGCTTGGTCTTATATATTATGTTGGCAGCATGAATAGTAATTGCAGCTCACTGGAAAACAGCCCCAAATATTACACTGGATGTTTGGTACCACTCACTCTGGAATATAGCTATAATTGAGAAGATTACACATAATTTAAGATTCTGACATGGGCTAGAATGTCTAGACACCTTTTATATACAGTGGAACATTCATTTTCAAGACAACCCTTGTCACAAGCCTAGCAAACAATACTTGATGATCTGATAAAGCTGTTAGTCTTTACCTGGACTTTGTTATTTTAACTCATGTGCAACTACTCATTCTATGTATCTATTTTACAGTTTAGTTTTTCATCTTTAAATATTTTTCTATTATAATTGTTTTCTCTGTTTTATATACATTATAAAAGGAAATAATAATAAAAAACATTACAAAAATACCAATCTAATCCCATTTTTGCTAATCCCATTTTCAGTGCATTTTCAAGTAGTAATCTAAACCACAGAGGTTAAATCAGCAGGTACATAACAGTAAAAGCTGGCATGAAAATGGATTTTCTTCCCCTGAATTGGGTAATGTATGTAGGATTATAAATATAGAGAAATATACCCTTTGACACCTATTTCCACTATAGTGATATTAAAAATCTGTGACTTCCTGACCTAAAGCTAGTAGTTTCTCATATATTCTGGTGGGTTTCTGGGATTCTGGAGAATTCTGCACACAATGTCTACTGTCTGTTATGATCATTGTTTACTTAAACTGGAGGTTGCAAAAAGTAGACAAGATCTTATTCTCTAGTGAAGAGAGAACCAAGGGTCTTGTAGCACCTTGACAGATGTATTATGCCATAAGCTTTCATGGACCAGAGTCTGCTTCATCAGATATTGAAAAGAGATTATTCTAACTGTTCTTTCAAAAACTGCTAATCTAATCTGATTGAGAAGCTGGGCAATTTCCTGAAAAACCACTGCATTAGAAGTTCCTATTGACAGGATTAAACTGGGAGCACTGTTATGAAAGCTGTTTCTCTCAATTTTGAAACAGCTTGCTTAAAATGGTGTGTGTACAACTCTTGCTCAAGAGTGTGCTAATTAATGAAACATATTTGCTAATCATTGTTCTTTGAGTTTTTTAGATTTTAATGCATAACCTGAAAGTTGATTCATGTACTCCAAACAGAATCCAGGCTCCAGTTCATCCAAATAGCCTTGCTCTTTACCAGCATTTCACAAAATGCACAGAGGGAATATTGCAAATAATCAAGCCCACTGGCAACTTGTATCAGCAGCCAATTTTTCTTTTTTTAAAGAAATGAATGGCAGGCAGTGTAGCATTTTATCCTCAGAGATAATAATCTATAAATGGAGGAAACTGTGATATGAAAAACGTAAGTGGAAGGCTGTTTCTGGATTATGGTTATCAACAAATCCATGACATGGATATCCTTACTGTGTGAATATGTTAACCCAAGGCTGCAGTTAGCATTAATAACATTGACCTTTAGCACTATGGAGCCAGAAGTGCATACGGTACTTATAGGATCAACTCTATAAAGCAGATGTTGAGACAGATTTGTTGATATTGGGTTACTTCCAGAACATACTTCGTTGCTAAGGAGACATTTTCATTTGTGCATATACCAGCATGAGGCAGAATCTTTTATTATTTTTTATTTTAAATTGAGAGAGAATTCAGCATGTTTTCCTTTTTCTAACTAGGAAATAATTGCTATCTAATTACACATTTAGCATCACATCTAGCTGGCCCTTAGAATTAAGGAACAGGGTA